GTTTGATATTCGTTTGTCAAACAAGAAAACCAACAAATTGGGTGGAGTCTAGACTCGATATTTTCTATGAAGTAGCAAGGAACTATGATGAAAAGGAATTTTGATTCATTAGAGTTAGAGCCTCGTGATAAAAAACGTTGCAATTCCAATATCAAAAGGTCCAGTTGTAAAGCTTGTCTCAAATTTCTTTATCTGAAGGAGACTGGACGTTACAAGGTTTAAAATTTATTGAGAGTCATAATCATATGCTTTTTTGGCTTGAGGATATGTTGCTTTCTCGTGCTAGATGACAACTTGATTATACCGACTAGAGGAATGTTTTCCATGCAGCTAGTTCGAAGGTTGGTATCACCCAATACATAGGATTCAATTGGCTATCAAAATGGTGTAGAATTTTCTAGTGGCATAACTAGCGATCATGTTAGCTTCATAAGAGACATGGCACACTTTGAATAGTAGGTGTTAACGTTCTCCTAAGTTTTTTTTCGAGTACAAGTATGACGAGAAAGAGTTGATTACGTTATTTTGGGCTGATGAAATAGGGAGGTTGGATTAGAAAGAGTTTGGAGATTCAACTTCATTTGATGCTACATTTTAAACAAATAAGTAAGGCTACACATATTTTTTTATTGTATATATGGTTGGATGCTTTATTTTTAATTAGATTATGTATGTTAATAGACATGCAATGATTTTTGTCCCGTTTGTTGCCATTGATAATCACAAAAACTCTGTCGTTATGGGTGCTTCATTGATTCGAAGTGAATCTGTTGTTAATTGCATGGGTTTTGAAGGACTTTATGAAAGAGCATGGTCGTCAGCTGTAACACCCTCAATTTTGGAAAAAATGACTAATTTGAAATTTTCGATAATACAACAAATAAAGGATAAATCATTTTATATAAATCAATACTTGAATTTCCTCGAATATCAAATCTACATTCAATATTTACAATTGGTAAACCAAGCCTTACATAAGAATTAAGTCAAGATTAGGTGTTACTAAAACTCAATAACAGTTACTACCACCTCCAAATGCGGAAGACATTACCAAATAACTAGATCTTTCTCGTGTCTCTAACTAGCACTCAAAACATCACAGTGTCGCTAGTACCAAACCTCAACAAGAACCTGATGCACATGATGACTAATAAAGAAGTTAGCTTAACGCCTAGTGAGTTCAAAAAGTCTTCATTATAATTATAAAATAGTATAATTGAAAGATTATTTATTTAAAACATAATTTCCCAAATCAAATGTATCTATCGTAAAAGCAATTCTTTCTAAAACTCATTATTTTCGTAATAAAAGCTCTAAATACCCATTCAGTATGATTTCAAAACCCAACACTCACTCTAAAAAGGTAAAGGAGGTTTAATGTCCAATTATTTAAAACATGGATAAAAACTCTATTTTATTCAAAAATGCCTCAAAAAAGTTGTATAAGTTTCAATACTAAAAAACTATAAATAATGGAAAACACTCGGTCCTCGAAATAACGTTGAAAGCAGGGATAATACTATATCTAAAAATAACTCCATTCTTGGTGACGAGGGAGACCCGCTATCTATCGAATGTAGCGAACACATAAGTAAACCACAATCAACATTAATGAGTCTCAAGTAGGGATCATACAGTCATCAAGTTCATCAACCCACGGTCTGTAGTTTTACCCCCCCCCCCCCACTAATTTCCTAGACAAGTTCTTTTGCTAGAAACGCCAGCCACTAACGAACTAGACGGTCATCGAGTTCAACCACCCATAGTCTATAGCTTAAGTTTCTCTCGACGGATCATACGGCTATCAAGTTCAACCGCCTATGATCTGTAGTTTGAGCTCCCCGTTACATCAACAGTTTCTAGCAAGAATACAGGGACATAGTCCCATTCCAAACTTCTACTGACTCCTATGCATATGGATCCATTTCATTACAGTATAAAATTACACGACACTAATTGAACAACTAATGCATCCAAAACATGTAATATATCAAACAAATATACTATAACTTCATATAACTCCAAAAGCTCGACTTAGAGAAAATAAACCAGACAAGTGTCCCCTAAGACTCATTTGAGTCAAAACCGAGCCAAAGGCTCAACAACATGATTGAATATTCAATAGAAGCATTGTAAACAATAAGACATGTTTAACCAATAGTTATGTAAACACATGCTACAAAAGTAAGATTAACTCAAAATCCATTATTTCATCTTTCAAGTGAAATCATACCATAAAATGTATTTTCCAGATGATTTATAAAATGAAATACACTAAGAGTGCACTGAAAAAAAAAACCCCCATTTATGAAGTAAATCATCCAAATAACATACTCTCCAGATTTATTTACTAAAGGGTTCAAAAACTCCAAATATGTGTATCTCACTAGATTTATAAAATTAAATATAACAAATATGCAAAACTCACCAAATAACTCACATTTAAATAACAAGTAAAACATGTTAATACTTCAAAATAAACATTTTTAGCATATACATAGTTTTCACAAAACAACTTGAATTCACCTTGCTAGATTTATGTTAAATCTAGGTTTTACCTCAATCTTGAGCTTCCAAAGAGATGAAGACCTTAGATCTCCACCCTAAAGTTATAGATCTATGATGCATAACTTCCAAGAACACTCTAATGAACTCCCTAAGATCTAGAAGAACACCACAAGAGGAGAGGGAGGTTGATGATGCAAAATGCCAAACCCTAGGTCAAAAAACAAGGATTTGGCTCTTATGCTTCAACTTCTAGGAGCCACAAATCTTCAAGGAAACTGTAATCCTCTTTGTGCCCTTCTTAAATAGCTTCAAAAGACAAAACTGTATCCTCTAGAATCGCCCAAATTGGATTAGAGATGAGAAAGTTATAATCAAATGAAGAAAACCCCGAAAAATCGCGTTTTTAACCCTCAGATGCTTCTAACGACTTGTGAAGAAACTTAACCCACTTGGAATGTCACCCAGGCACCAAAACATCAGCTTTCTAGAGCCCTAAGCGACTTGTGAAGTGACTTAACTCACTCTGCAACTAGTTTGCACTTTGTGTTTTTAAACTATTTTGTGACTTCTCATGCAATCAAACTTGCATGAGAGTTCCCTTAAATCCCCAGATGGCTTTTGACACACCTTTTCATATATCCCAACTCAACCACGATCTTTGATTTAAATTCAACAAACATTCAATAATGGTTGGACACTGAATGACTTGCTAAAACAAATATACACTCTTAAAAGATTAATCGCAAAAACACGGGTATTACATCAACCAAGTTTTGTAATAGCTGATCAGTGTGCATCGAGGAAGCAAGCAATCCCCATAACTTTTCCTGATGTGAAACATTATTTATGTATGTGGCACATCAGAAACAAAGTTCCTAGCAAGGTATGTATCTAAGTTAATTTCATTTTATACATAACTTCATTCATCAATTTCATGTGTATGCAGAATAGAGTTTTTATTATAATCATAAGAGTCTATTTTTGAATATTATAGGTTAGTGATCATCTAGCTCATAGCACTTCTTTCATTAGTGAAATCAACAAGCTAGTTTGGAATGTCCACATAGGCCGTGATGATTTTGAGTTAAAATTGAATGAGTTGATTAATCAGTATGGATTACATGGTGATTTGTGGTTTCATGAAATGTATGCTATTAAGGAATCTTGGATTCCTCTTGATACAAAGATTCTCCCATATCTAGCTTGATGAAAACTCTTCTAGATCCGAGAGTATTAACGGTTTTTTTAATGTTTATGCAAAGTATTGGAATGACTTCGGTTTTTCTATTCCTACTTTCGATGATGCCATTGAAACTTAACAAAAAGGTCATTGTTTAATAGAGGTTACTAGCAGAAGTACTATCCTTCAGTTGGCATCGCGTGTAACATTTTATAAGCGCATGGTATTTTTTGAGGTACAAAAGGAATTGAATAAGGTTGTGCAGTTTTCTTGGTCGGAGGGCTTTCAAAGCACCTTTATCTCTATAAGAATTCAACTAATATTGGTGTTGTATTAATGGATGATGGTTTGCTGATACAAGAAGGGAGTTACATAAAAGCAACACGAAGAATTGCTCATATATCAATGAGTAAGGTATTATAAAATTAATACGGTTATATCTTATAAAAAAAAACCAACCTTGATCATCTTTATAAAAAAAAATCTTCTTAAAGATTATGATATCATCTCACAAAACCAAATAATAAAAGTTACGATAACAATATAACCATATATAATTGAATTAAGGATTAATTTATAGATTTGAGGCATATGGACACTACAACAAAATTGGGTTTATAGGACACCACAATCTCTAAGCGTTCCAATAGGCTACTTTATAGGACCAAAATATAAAACGTCATATCTAAAAGTGTTGTAATAAGTTTATATGACGCTTTTGGATGTCTTAACAAATTTTTAGAACATTTTTAATACAAAGTGTCCCATTTGCAACTTTATATGAAACTTTTGAGAAAATGTCCTATAAAATAAATATTTTATAGGACATTTGTTTTTATAGGACAATTTTTCAAATAGTGTCTTATAAAGTTGCTAATGAGACGTTGTATATTAAAAGTGTCCTAACAAACTTATTACTACGTCAAAAAGGCGTCGTATAAACTTATTACAACGCCTTTAGATATGACACTTTATTTTTTTGGTCCTATAAACTAAGTCCTATAAAGAGCTCTATTAGGATGCTTAAAAATTGGGAGTGTCCTATAAACCCGATTTTGTTGTAGTGGGATAAAAAAGACTTTGGATTCAATTATTTGTAATTTTTATATATAATTGAATAGATACTCAAAAGTAAACATGTATAAGCATCAAACTCAATTAAACCATCATAAACGCTAAAATATGAAATAAAAAAGAGAGCTTGAAATAGAAAGTTGGCATAAGGTTTACATATGCCACATTATTATTAGAGTTGATTAAAATTAAAGGGTAAAAATAGTATTAAATTAGTTTAGTAGTTGATAGGACTAGGTTAGCCAAGAGTGAGGTCAAGGGACACATTCTTGCCATCAACACATGAAGCTTTGACAGAAGAAGCATGAGGACCTTCCAGAGTTGACGACTCTGTCTTACTTCCCTTGTCATTTGAAGAAGAAGAAGCAATCACATCATCATCACTTACCTGAGTTCATTCATTAATAACAATCGTTAGTCACCATCGACTTCCAGAAATATGTATATATATATATATATATATATATATAGAGAGAGAGAGAGAGAGAGAGAGAGAGATGCATGCATGATCATAAGAAGTGAAACCGGTGTTAAAGAAATCCTTGTAGGCAATTTTAGCGATGGCATCTCCATTCTCTTCACCATTGCAGTCACTATCTTCCTGAAAAATTACCCAAGTCATAAGATATAGTTTTTCAAACGGAGATAGATCTAGAAGGATATATATATATATTATGTACAGGTTCAAACGAAAACGCTAACTATTTAAGAAAATAATAAAAATGTTAGAAAATCATACATGATTCTCACACACACACATATATATATATATATATATATTCACGTACAATATCATACAAGTTTAAAAGTCGTCTCCCTGCACTTTTTTGATGTTAATACAAAATCACATGTGATTTTGTATATTAACGATCTTTTTTGTTTTCTTAAATAATTAACATTCTCGTTTGAACCTTAGTCTGTGCATATATGTATATATATTGCCTAGATATACAGGTACGCTTAATCCAAGATAGTACGGAAGGATAATTACAGAAAGAGATGGATATGATATATATATATATATAACTTACAAAGCCATGCATGAATTCCGTTTACATCTATATATGAAATGAAGGGTAGAAGAGAAAGAGAGAGAGATGGTTACTTGGTGATGATTCTGAAGTTCAGTAAAGATCCTCATGTTGTTGAGCGGGAGTTTCTTCATCTGTTCCACAGCAGCTGTATTGAGTTTGTGATGAGAGGTAGGCATCATTATCACTGGCTCTTTCACATTTAGTTGCTTGGTCATAACTCTCTCATCATGCTGCTTATTGCGATCTTCATTTGCAGATGGCATGTTACTGCGGCTGGAGTTATAAGTTATACTTCTTTCCTCTTTTTCACCTTCTGCCACTTTATAAAAGATAAAGATTCATGCTTGGGTTGAGTATATGTCTCTACTTTCTTGTTTGAGTGAATATATATATATATATATATATATATATATCATTTGAGAACCCATTAGATTATGATAACCTTGACAACTTGCACATTATTTTATATGATTTTTTTCATTTAAAATTAGGATTTAAAATATTGATTAACATATAGTTGTTTCATGTGTTTGTTTTACATGTGAACGGTTCATAATATAAACTTTTTTGACGTGTTTGTGAAACACAAAGTATACGTAAAAAAGTTTCATATTGTGAAACGAATAGATATAAAACAAGTATATTGTGAAACAAATATATATTAATCAATACATTAAATAATATGCCTAGATAGAGAAAAATCATATGAAATAACACCGGATGTACAAGTTCTCAAGATTATCATAATTTAATGGGTTCTCAAATGATTAAGCCTCTATATATATACTAATTCGCTCTCAGTCCTTTTGTCAATTGAGTTACATATCCGATGGGGGCGTGCACGCGCAAGCATACACACACATACACACACACAAAAGTTCAGTTGCAAACCTATTTTTCAGTGGGAACCGATGAACAAAGGGGAGCGTGACAATCACCCAATTTGTTCTCATGTATCATGAATAATGAATGTGAACTTTTTACAACATTCATGATCAATGTTACACCATTCAGAATGAATGATACATTAATCATGACGAATATACTGTAAATATCTGGGACACATGGTCCGTTCTCTTTTGTCCCCGATTTATAATGGAACTTATATTTGCAACTGAAACAGCATATATGTGTTTGTGGGTGATAAATCAAACGAGAATCGTAACAAAGGTTGAAAAATGAAGATATATATATATTTCACATGATTATTTATTTTCATATACGACTATGATTCAATATATTAATTATATGTATTTGTTTCAAAATGAACCTTTTTACTTGTTTATTTTTTTTCAAAACATGTAAAAGAAGTTTAATATTTGAAAGAATTATGGGCTAATATATATATATATATACACACACATACATATAAACAAAAGTCTACTTGCATAATGTAACGTGATACATCTTGATTTTGATACTGACAACTCGAACCCTCAATCCTAACTCATGTTTTGTTCTATTCTTTATCGCTCAAAATTTATTTTACGGTTTTATGTAGTTTCAACAGAGCCAAAGAGTTTTCAATTGGTTGATTACTAGTTTATGGAGTATTGTATTAGTAATTAGGACTCAACCACTATTAAATTAAAAACTTTTGCCTACGGACTTTTACCTGGGAAATTTGTCGTCAAAGGGTGATCATTCGTCAAAAAACCGTCACAAAAGTTGGTGGATAATTAATATCAGTAACAGATTACCCAAGAATTCTCCGGGTGATCCATCATTATTTCCTCAAAAAACATCAGATTCTACCAAACTATTGGTATTCCTGGATGATCAGTCAGTAATTACCAACCGAAATTTTCGTGGGTGATTTTTGTAGGTAAAAGTCATTTGTTTTGTAATGAACGGTTTTTCTTGTATTTGAATGGTTACTGTGAGTTAGTTTATATATAGAGTTCAGACGTAAATCTTTAAAAAGTTATACATATACAATAATAAGTTGTAAAATTGAATTTTAAGAAATTTCTGAAAATATAAAAGATATATATCTTATAATATTAATTGGCAGATTTTTAATATTTAAAGGTTTCTATATAAATTTTGATTTTCAGTTACTAAAAATTATATCTATAATGAATCATACTACATTCATCCTAAAATAAGAAGAAAATATATTTATTAATGAATGGTATCTCCATCGGTAGAATTCTTTTATTCTAACTTTTAGCATAAACTAAATATTTTTGTAACTATATCAATGTGTATGAAGAGTATTGAGAAATTATTTTTGCTAGACGCAAAATGTGAAATGCTGTTATAATTTCTCTCTCTCTCTCTCTATATATATATATATATAATATCACGATTTAAATAAGAACCATAAATAATTTAAAACTAAGGTTATTGATTTTTAGCATATATTCACCATTGAATAGATTAATGACAAAATACATATGAACATATGTGATATCGGGTTTTTCAATTATAAAGTTCGAAGTTGTTTTTGAAAATGGTGGTAAGTTAAGGGATTAATTGGATATGTGTGTTTGAAGTTATTTTAAAATACCCACAGCCTTACATGTTTAATGTGAATATATTATGGAGATATTTTAAATTATCTCATAAAAGGCTTGATCAAGTTGATAAGAAATTTGGTGTGTGTATGTTTTGTTCTGGAGCTCGAGCAAACATAAACATAAGGAACAAAGAACAAAATTGACTTTGTGATTTTTATGTGGAATTGTTGCTATTTCATCTTCATCTACGTGAATTATATAAGGTGAGTTTAATTTTACAAACTTTCCTTATTTGGAAGCTGGAGGGTAAAACTGTATGGTTTTTTTTATGTGAATTGTTGATATAAAACTATTTTGAATGCTATAATTAGCATAAACGTAGCTTTTTGGTTATGTTATATCATGTGTTGAAATAAGGGTGTCATACCAAGGATAGATGTATTTTGGTTACAAGGATGACATATCAAGAAGAGGTGTTTACTGGGATAAGGATCACATATCAAAGAGAGGTGTATACCAGGATAAGAGTGACATAATCATGAGTTATAAAATATGGGTTTTTGATCAAAATAATCAATGTTATCGCATCCTTATGATGCGAGGACTCAAAGTTGCCGCATCTATGTGATGTGATAACTCTATTGATGCGATAAAAAGTACTTATCACACCTATATAATGCGATAACTCTATTGATGCGATAAACTCAATCTTGTCGCATCACAGGGTGCATAAACTCATTCATCGCATTATATAGGTGCGATAAAGATTGGGTTTATCACATCAATGTGATGCGATGAATTGTGGTCCTTGCACCAGTGTGTTGCGAGGAAATGAGATTATCTCATCATGTCATGCAAGAAGTTATATAATGCGACAAATTTATTCAAGATGTGTTTATTAAATAATTTTATTATTTTGATGCGATAAACGAGGTTCATTACAACAAAATGATGTATATTTGTTATTTTACAAATATGAGTTCGTAAATTTGATTTGGTGATTATTCACCTAATAATTGCATCAAAGAGATTTCTCACTAGACCTCAAGGTCTAACCCTCATTTTGTGTTTCAAAAATGTGCATTACAGGTCAGGCACAACCAGAGGACAAGGGGAAAGGGAAATTGTGAAGTGTTATATGTGCTTCATGTTTTATGAGGATAACATGTTATTCTTTTGTATCTGAATATTTGTTAGGTATTTATGTGTTGTATAGAGATTTTGTGGGAAAATTTGTTAGCTATTTTGTAATAGAGCTTTTGTAAGATTTTGGGACCGAATGTGTAAATTATATTTCTTGTTATATGGAAATATATGTTTAGATGCAAATTTGGTCTTGGGTCTTACAAGTTTGGTATTAGAGCACGAGTTTAAGAGATTTAGGTATCCAGCATGATGCCTAGACGTAAACTATATTATTTACATATTAAGAAATCCCTAACATTTGTAGAACCTATGAAATAAATATGATAGGTTAAAAGAACGATATGTAAGGTAAATTCAAATTACAACTGGCCAATGTAATTATGAATTTACAGGTACATATTTGTACTTGAATACCTTATTATATTTGGGAATGTGATTAAGTGAATATTAAATTTTAAAAATTTACAGATAGCCAGTCATTTACGAAGGTCTGAAAAGGATCGCCCTTATCAGTCCGGATGAAAAGGAGAGTTCACCAGATAATTTTTCCTATAAATCAACCAGCAGACAGAGGCAGATGTCGGGGTAGAGGCCGTGGAAGGAAGGAACAGTTAACATGAAGTTCATCTAGACCAGGGTGAATCAATTCAAGATAATATAAATCAAGAACCAGTGCAACCACCCTGAGTATGTTACTCGGAACATGTTAGAGGAAGAAATGAGTAAGCTAAGAAATACTCTTACATCTATTCTGGGAATAACAGCCAGAGTAGAGACAGAAAGGGTCGAAATAAATCCACAGATTCAATCTACAAACAGTAAAGGAGGCGACATCAAAATGTTTTTAACCTATAAACCTCAAACATTCTCTGGAGAAAGAGATCCGATGAAGGCAATGTGTTGGTTGAGGGAGATAGGATCTGTATTCAATACCAGTAAGTGTTCTTATGAGGATAGAG